CTGGTGGTGACGTGTGACGGTGTGTGGGGACACGATGCCAACGTGTTCATCGCCCACATGGCTCATGCGCTGTTGGAGAAGGAGGGGTGGAAGGGTCGGGGGTTCAGTCATGTGTCTGGATGCATTCGCTCTCGCTTGTCTATCGCCCTCGCGCGTGCGACTAGCTCCTGTCTGCGTGGGGGAGGGAGGGGAGGGTTTGCGGGACTGGGGTGTGCTGGTGGGGCGGGGATTGATCCCTCCTCCCCTTGAGCCTGTTTGAGTCTGCGTGCTGATGGGACTGTATTTGTATGAGTATCACGGACACACAGACGAGTGTTACGGTTAATGACAGTTTCCCCCCCCCTCGACTGAGGGAGGCTGACCGATAGCTGTGTGTATGTGTGTGTGTTCTCGATCACCATGTCTTGATGCTCACCTTCAGAGCTCGCCTCAACGCCCACGGAAGCTGTAGAGATCGACATGTTGGCTCCCAAGCAGGAGCGGAAACAGCGAAGGGCGGAAGCAGTGAAAGCAGGAGCGGCCTTCTTTGTTCAAGACTGACTGGCTTGCGAAGTGTATGCGTGCCATTGTATATATGAGTGCCTCGCGTGTAGATGCATATTATGAGTGATGGACGTCGACCATACGCTTGTGATTGACTTTTTCAGTGTGCCGCGCTTTGAACTCCCTCTATCGGACACAATGTGACTTGACGAAGCATGCTTGTGCACATATTGCTTGTCAAACCGTGTGATCTTTTGTTTCCTCTCTCGCTCAAACACACAGTCAGTCGGCACGCATCGATGGACAACGACGCTCCGGAGAGAGAGGCAGAGAAGCAGATGGGCAGGGAACAGAGAGAGAGGTCAGCACGACCACAAAGAGAGAGGCGAGAGAGGCGTGAATAGCTCATTCATCAACACAGAATATCAGATATAAAATGTGGGCAGCGGTGTGTGTGGGGGCCTACTTGACATACAAGCATCAACCCTCCACTACCGGCATCACCCGAATCGACATACACATGCAAGGAAGCCAGTGACTCTCGCTGTGCCCCTCCCTCCCCACCTCCCTCCCTCCCTCCCTCTCAGCAGCCACACGTCCAGGAGCCAGCGCGTCAGCACCCAGACGGCCAGGAGCGAGACAGCCCACCCAGGGGCCAGCGCTGCCCGACTGCTGGGTGCCCCCCCTGCCGTTGCTGCGCCTGGCCCTCGGTGTCGTCGCCCTGCGCCTGCCCCTCGGTGTCATCGCCATCTACACCACACACACACACACACACACATACGCACACAGAGATACAGACACACGCATAAATGCACCCCTCCCTGTGCGGCTACCCACCCTGTTCACCTCTCCATTCCCGCCTTGCCGCCGTGTCTGTGTTGCCAGGTATGCGCTGAAGAGGAATATCAGCCACAGGAGCTCACGCGGGGAGCGGGTCATCGACGCCGCTGCAGTGAAGGAGAACGTCGGCGGGTCGGCCGACGATGGGTTCGTGGGGCTGTGATGGCTCGCAGGCAAGCGGTGGGTCGCTTTCTCCATCACCGGTCACCTTTTTTTGAGACAGCTCCACAGAACGACCCCCTCCACAGCTCCTTGTTCAAACCCTTGACGGTGGCTGCGAGGAAGGTCTTCTTGTCCTCCTCCACATACTCGCTCGCCATTGGAGTCGCCAGCAGTATGGTGGTGATCAAGAGCCTCATCGGCTGTGTACTCTTCGGATGTGCAGTCGCCACTGTCGGGTTGTCTCTGCAGGAGCCATCATGCCGCCCTGCAATGACTCCTTCGATGAGTGTGTTGACGTACTTGGACCGCGGGATGCCAGCCTGAGCTGCCAGTGTCAATGTGACCTCTAAGGCGTCGAACCGGGACGTTACACGCTGTGGGATGAGACGATCCTCAACGTTCAGAGCGTCTGCTGCTGCGGTGCACGCGTCTTCTAGGCATCTTGTCTGGCTGTCGTAGGGCACGTTCCACGAAGCGTTGCCATGTTATGCTTGCGGTGTTGTTGCTGCTCCCTTGTGCAAGCTGTGCGGTCTGTGGCACCTATATACGCTCACACACACACACAGCCACACCATGTCTAAGCCCCGCTTGTGTTGTGTCGTTCTCCTCACCCAGAAGTTGTACAGCAGCCACAAATGCAGGTGGGCAAGGCCCCCACTCGCCGGGCCCCCTGGTTGCTTGTCGCCTCCTGTCCCGCCATGGTGTTCGTCTGCTGGTGCCTATCGAAGGAAACACACATACGCACTCCACCTACCCCTCTACCAGTACGTTCTCTCTCGTCTGATCCTTCTGACCGATGCCCGCACAGGTTGCTGATGGTCTGATTGAATGCTTCGGCGGCGGGGGCGCAGGCCTGGCACAGCCACTTTGCCATCACCATTGCCCCCTCACAGCAGAGGCAGCACATGTACACGGGCTTGAAGTATTCTTTTAAGACCGCCAAAGCGGCTGCACACAAAGAGCAATACAGAAGAAGCCCAGCCGATTAGATAGAATCAATGCCTGCATCTTGGGTGTCTCGCAATCTGAGTCTTTTGACGAGTAACAGGGTCTCGGATGTCGTCCTGGCTGTTGCTGGCCCTCGGCCTCCACTTTCGGCGGCACAACAGCTACAAAAAGCAATGATTGTACATAAAAGCACTCAAAGCGCAATGGCCAACATTCCAGTGTGCACCTACCTGTGCCGTTGGCCACCCCCCACAACACAGCCATCGGCTCATTTGCCATCTCACCGCTCCCTTCGATGTCCACCACATGGTGACCGTCTGCGTCTGCAAGTCACACACATATGATCATTTGCATCATCCCGATGGCATCATCCACCCACTTGCTCACTCACCGCCCGCCGTGTAGATGATGACATCCCCGTCCTTGAACACATCGCGGGCCAGCTGGTCGCCCTCGGTGTCGGGCCAGCTGCCAGTGCAACGCACAAGAAAGGTTTAAGCAAATTCGCAGCACCTGTGTTGGCGACGTACCCCTGGTAGGTGTTGACGGCGCTCGGATCGAGCCGCTGACCTTTGCGGAGCCTGTTGTTGATGTCGTCGACGGTTCTCGTGTCGTTTTCGGTCAGGACAAATTCATTTTCTGCGCCATCTGGCGCAACCCAGCCGGAAGAAGACGCGGCCCACACTTGATAGCTGAGCTTTGGACCTCTTGATAGCTGGGCGTGCTCGCTAGGAGCTCTCGCTGCAGTGCAACGCACGAGAGAGATCTGAGCAAATCCGGTGTTTTCGGTCAGGGCATGGTCATTTCTTTTGCCATTCGCCGTACTGTACCCCGCCGAAATGTGACGCGCATCATTGTGTTGGCAGGTCCCCTGAGAGACGGTGACACACAACACACAAAGATCATTACGCCAGTGCTGACTTGGCACACACCTGTTTGAAGCCACAAAGACATGACATCGCGAGCAAACCAAGCCAAGCCAAGCCAAGCCAAGTCATGAATCGGCCTAAGAGCACTAACACCAACCAACACACACAGCGACACACACGTCTGTTTGTTTTGTTGGATGGATGCCTCACCAAGTATGAGAATGGCGCCGAGCCCCCACCAACACCAACAGCGGCATTCGAGGATTGTCCACTTGCGGAGGGCTTGCATAAGTTGCCGACCTGGACGTTATTGATGCAGGCTCCGGGGAGTGCACTTGAAAAAGAAAAAAAGCCTCTTCGCCGTCTCGCCCCCAATTCCAAGCTCGCCCATCGCGACTTCTCGACAGCCTCGCTCCGTTCGCTAGTCGTTTTGCTCCGCTTCCTCTCCCGAAGAAGGCTGGCGGCGCCAGCGATGGCTGACCACAATAACAATCAAGTGCGGTACACACGCCAGCAGAGCAAAGCGAGTAGAGAGGGATCATGTGCGTGTTTCTGTTTTGGTTTGGTTGCAGGAGGCGGCTCATGATGCACCCGCTGCTGCTGCTGCTGCTGCTGCTGCTGCTGTGTCGGTCACTGTGACTGGCGGCAAGAGTGCCACAGATGCCAAACCTGCCACAGATGCCACACCCGATTTCATCCTCTTCGGTAAGATTCTGACCAAAACCAGGCGATTAAACCGGCTCACACATGCACTTTGGTTCGCTGCAGGTGAGTTGGTGTACGCGTTGGACAAGATCGGCCCGCTGCACGAGCGCCTGAGCAATCTGCACGCTCGCCAGCCGCTCGACGGCACCGAGGAAGAGCTCATGGCCGTCCTGGAGCCCCCTACGCACCTCAACTGGCGGTCACTCATCGGCGAGATCAAAGGCATGGGCAAGGACGAGCAGGTGCCTGCCGTACATGGATGGCGCAACCCTGCACACACATGCATGCGCCAGATCTGATGTGTGCATGTGTGTGGTGTCCTCACAGACGGGCGTGCTGTCGGCCCTGCAGAGGCACCTGGAGGGCTGCATCGCACTGCTGCAGCCGTATGTGGACAAGAAGGAGCGACTCGAGACCGAGGAGGAGGACAGGAAGCGGCAGGAGGAGATGCGTGAGAGGGCGGCGGCGCAGTTGGCGGCGTGCAGGGCGGCACACGGAGAGGCGGGGTGCACTTACGTAGAGTATTTCGTCAAGACGCTGACGGGCAAGACCATCACCATTTACACCAGTGCGGGCTGCCCCACTGTGGAGTCGTTCAAGGAGAAGATTCGAGAGCAAGAGGGCATACCCGTCGACCAACAGCGACTCATGTGAACGGACACACACAGACAGAGAGAGAGAGGGAAAGAAAGACGGATACGCCTCATGCGTTTTGGTGTGTGCCATATGTCAGATGTGCCGGGAGGCAGCTTGAGGATGGCCGCACCCTGGATGACTACAACATCCAGAAGCAAAGCACCTTTCATCTGGTGCTCCGTCTGCGGGTATGTCCGCCCCCGCACACACGCTTCCTTCCACCACACAAGCGTGCAACTCTGTATCTCTGTGTGTGTGTGTGTGATAAGGGCGGTATGTTTGCGCGTGTGAGTGGTCGTTTCGGCTTCGCCCCCTCGCTCCGCGATCTGTCATCATCATTCTTCAACCTGTCGCCCCAGCACATCAGATACCTGAAGCGAGGCATCAAGGAAATGAACCGCCACGAGGAATGGTGAGTGCAGTGAGCACCCAGACGTCGCCCGTCCGTTCATGTGCTCTGTCTGTGTGTCTGTGTGTGTGTGCGTGTGCATCGTCAGGTGCTCGTCGGTGCTGGCTGACTCGGGTGGCGGCGACAGCACGTCGGCCGAGCCCACCACCATCGCATCGCTCCTCAACGGCGTGGGTGATGCCGTCATGCAGCTGCAGGCCGACATGACCGCTGCGGAGGCCGTCATGATCTACACCAATCGCGATGCCGACGAGACCGAGGACCTCGCCACGCGGATGCAGCGGTTGAAGCGCAAGCGGCAGAGCAGCGACGATAAGGGGGAGGGGGAGGGGGTCAAGAAGGGGCGGATGGGGGCGGAGTGGGGGGTGAGGCTGTGGGGGATGGATGGGGCATCACACCACGACACGGACATACATGAGTACGGCCAAGCCAAGCCAGCCGACAGCAGACAGACAGACAGACAGACCAACCAACCGACTGACAGATAGACCGATTGACAGACAGACAGACCGACCGACCGACCGACAGACGGACAAGAGACCCATCCACAGCAGCCAGAGCTAGTAATTGTATGAGCAGAGCAAGGACATGACCCACATACACATCTGACAGAAGGACAGTGGCGAGCGGTGTGTGCACGCGTGTGCTTCCATACGGCACGCACTGCATGCCCGTGTGCGCGAGTGACCGACCCTGGTGGTTGTTCCATCGATGCGATGCATGTGTTGACACATGTGAGTGTCTGTGCTGTACAGTCTTCAACACATGCAAATGTCCTTCTCTAGTGGTGTACTCACTCCCCTCCACCCACCCACACCACGGAGACAATGAATGCACTCATTCACTCATTCACTCATCGACATGAGTCAATTATACATGCGCTTGCGAAACTTGGCCAGAAAGAAACCTATCGACCTGCACACACATACAAAGGCACAACACGTCAACAAGTTGGTATGCAGCATGCAAAGCCCTCTGTCTGTGACACGTACGTGTACCTTCCCTGCACAGGACAGAACCGCTGCACCATGCCGCACTCGTCAGCACTCAGCACCTGCACGACCCATGACCACGAGGCCAGGCCAGTCGACAGCTGCATGTGGGCTGGTCGTTCGTTTGCTCGTCACTCGCCTGTCCGTGTGCGTCATGGGGCGAAGGTCCGCCCACCCTCGGTGTGGCGTCCACCAGCGACAGGGGGAGATTGTCAACCGCCCACAGCACCGCACACTCGTTCTCTGAACAAACAATCCGTGTACGATTAATCGACGGCAGACGGACAGATGTCGCCAGTATTTGCTAATGGGTGTACCTGTCTTGGTGACAGAGCAAGTCGAATATACCAGTGTGCCGCCGGCTTTGAGCAGGCCACAGCCCCTGTTTGCAGATGCAGCGCACACACATACATGCATGGGTGGGAAGATGCGCATTGCAGCGACTGGGTGGGTATGCATACGTACCTTTGGATGAGCCTGCGCTGTATCTGTGAGAGCGAGTCGATGTGGAGGTCGCCCTCACCAAACGTCAGACGGGGACGCAATCCTGCACACACATGAATGTCATTCATGTCTTTGAGGTCGTGTGTTTGGCAAGGCACCTACCTGTGGCGCTGCAGGGTGCGTCAATCAGCACTCTGTCGAATTGGCCACCTCTGAGACACGCACACACATGCCCGTGTCTGTGTGTGCCGTGTCCTTGCGGCGTGCCTACTGCAGGTCTTGACAGGCACACACACACACAGAGAGAGAGAGAGAGAGGGGGAGTGTGTGTGTGTGCGGAGGGTGTACCTGGGGGTAGATTGATTGCCCACCCACCCACTGGGCCAAGTACTTTGTCAGAGAAAAGAAGTCGTTTATAAAAGGGTCGTTCCATATGTTTCCGCACTAACCAGGACAACTCACAGAATAGGCCTATCAGTCGTATGTGGGCCTACAGGTGGCCATCAAGGGTCATCCTACGGTCAGAAATGGCAAAATGGTGACATTTTTGTTCGGTTGCGTAGCGTCGTCAGTTTTGCTGACCTGCCCCTCTCCCTGTGCACCTGTGCGGCCAACTCGAGGGTGCACTTGACTCATGTGTTCGATGGGCCGGGCCGTACACACAGAGCGAACCACGGGCCTGCAGAGATGACACTCACGCATAGACAGAAGTTCCGCTGCGCGTCAAAAAAGTTCCGCTCGACGGCTGTGTGTGTCCTGTGCGTGTCGGGGGGATGCCCTGGTCAATCTGACGCGCCGAAATCTCCCGCACACGCACTGGTCGCTGCGCTGCACATGGGCGACAGCACCCCACACACACTTGGGTGTCTGTGAGCCCACCCAAACGCATCGAGCGCAGGGGCCGATCGGCGCATAGCAAAGCCTTTATCGACAGCAATCCTCTGACACCCGAATGAGCCTCCGGGTCTTGGCGCAGCAAGCCCATCTCGGCCTGCAGACAAACCAACATTCATCAGAGAGAGAGATGTCAGCTTATTTGACCTTCTGGCTGCTCCTGGCTGCGTGTGTGGCCTTCCTGTGAGCCTCTCTGCTGCTGATCTGTGCGTTTGGCAGGCTGCGGCCTCCTTTTGTCACTTCTAAGCTCGCATTTTGCCGATCGCTGCGGAGGAGGCTTTCTCCCATTGCTGGGGGGCGGGCGGCGGCTGACGTGCTCAGCTACACCCTAATTATGCGTAGGGTTTGCGAATTTGGTGAATGCGCGTGTGCAGGAGTGCGTGGCAGACAGGCAGGCACCTTCCCACACACGGATGTGCGAAGGCGTGGGCTGTGTGTGCAGAGAGGGAGGTTCTCTCTCTCTCTCTCTCTCTCTCTCTGTGTGTGTGTGTGTGTGTGTGCGTGTTGTGTGTGTGCCATCATCGCGCCTGCACCCACCCACACACAACGAGATGACCCAGATACACACACATCTGACAGAAGGACAGTGGCGAGCGGTGTGTGCAC